AACTGATACAATCCTGCCAACACAGACTCTAAATCAAAACAGCAACCTCTATGCTCGCTACACGGCTACAAATTACTCAAGTGGTAGATTCCTGTTTGCACTACAATCTGATGGAAATCTCGTGCTTTACACTACAAATTTCCCACAAGACACTGCCAATTCTGCTTATTGGGCAACCAATACAAATATTGGATTTCAGGTCATCTTCAACCAATCTGGCCTCATTTACCTTGTATCCAAGAATGGAAGCGTACTCGAACCCATATTATCACATTCACATCCCACTTCAATACAAAATTACTACCAGAGAGCAACTTTAGAGGATGATGGAGTTTTGAGGCACTATGTTCATCCTAAAAGTGGCTCGATTGCCGAATCCATGGCTTGGTCTACTGCAGTTTCCATACCTCCAAATATCTGCTTGATTGCGGAACAAATGGGCGGTGGTGCATGTGGAATCAACAGCTTATGTAGGCTTGGTAATGAAGGACGACCAATTTGCGAGTGCCCTCGTGGTTACACCTTGATTGATCCAAATGATGTGCGCAAAGGATGTAAACAAAACTTTGTTCCACAAAGTTGTGACCAGGCCTCACCAAAACATCTTTTTGATTTTGAAGACATGCAAAACACAAATTTTGTTTTTGCAGATTATGAGCATTTTACGGAGGTAACTGAGGATTGGTGCAGACAGAATTGCCTAGATGATTGTTTTTGTGCTGTTGCAATTGTCAACTCCAAAGCAGACTGTTTCAAGAAGAGACTCCCTTTTTCGAATGGGAGGATTTACCCTGGTAATGATGCAAAAGCTCTGATCAAATATGGGAAAGACAACTCTACTTTTTGGCGCGGTGGAGGTGCAATCACAAAAAAGAAACATAATTCAACTCTGATACTTGTTGTATCATTGCTCATGAGTAGCTCGGGGGTCCTGAACATCCTCTTACCATTAATAACCTATTTGGTTGTTTCTCGCGTCTATTCTAGAAAAGCAAAGGTCCTTCAACCTCGTCCAGTCCTGTCAGGCATGAATTTGAAGGATTTCACTTATGAGGAGCTAAAAAAAGCTACTAACGAATTCAAGGAAGAACTAGGACGTGGTGCTTCTGCAACAGTTTTTAAAGGAGTTTTAGTGTCTGATACTGGAATGTGTGTTGCTGTCAAACGTTTAGACGCTAAGGTCAGAGAAAATGATTTGGAATTCGAAGCTGAAGTGAGTGCTATCAGCAGAAGAAATCACCGAAAT